GATGGACATGGACATGGACACACACACATGGAGACATGGAGACATGGAGACATGGAGACATGGAACATGGACACACGGAGACACACATGGAGGACATGGACACATGGAGACATGGAGACATGGACATGGACATGGACACACATGGAGACATGGAGACATGGACATGGATGGAACATGGAACATGGAGACACACATGGAAACATGGAACATGACATGGACACATGGGACACATGGAACACACATGGACATGGAACACATGGACATGGACACATGGACACATGGACATGGACACATGGACATGGAACAAAGGAACATGGAACATGGACATGGAATGGAACATGGAGGACATGGATATGGAACATGGAAACATGGAACATGGAGATGGAAGGAACATGGAGACATGACAGGACATGGAACATGGATGAACATGGAGGAACATGGAGACATGGAATGGAACATGGAGATGGAACATGAACATGGAACATGGATGGAACATGGAGGATGGAACATGGAGACATGGATGAATATGGAAACAGATGGATGGAACATGGATGGATGGAACATGGAGACATGGAGAATACAGAACATGGAACATGGAACATGGAAATCATGGAGACATGGAACATGGAGACATGGAGATGGAACATGGAATGGAACATGGAACATGGAGGAATATGGAGACATGGAATGGATGGACATGGATGGACATGGATGGAACATGGACATGGAACATGGAGAACATGGAACGACAATGGAACATGGAGGACAATGGACATGGAACATGGATGGAACATGGAGGTGGAACATGGAATGTATGGAATGGAACATGGAGAACATGGAATGGAATGGAATGGATGGAACATGGAGATGGATGGAAACATGGAGATGTATGGAGGACATGGATGGAGATGGAACAGGGAAATATGGATGGAACATGGATGGAACATGGATGGAATGGACATGGAACATGGAGGATGGAACATGGAGGAATGGAACATGGAGATGGAACATGGACATGGAGGTGGAACATGGACATGGAACATGGAATGGAACATGGAGGACATGGATGGAACAGAAGAAGAAGAAGAAGAAGAAGAAGAAGAAGAAGAAGAAGAAGAAGAAGAAGAAGAAGAAGAAGAAGAAGAAGAAGAAGAAGAAGAAGAAGAAGAAGAAGAAGAAGAAGAAGAAGAAGAAGAAGAAGAAGAAAAGAATTTATTTTTGGACTTGAACAAATATGTTACTCGATCCAAGAACACATGGTGTACAGGCCTGTAAAGGACATCGGATATGTTTACAGCCAATGTATGGAGTCAATGTATGGTGTTCGAGTTGTTACATCATTCGAGAGTTTAGTGTATTTAGCTAAGTTTCGCAAGGCAGATTTATTGGAATATCTAAACAGTGACATAAACTTATAAACACTTGTAGAAGCTTTTAATAGATAACTTTCTAAACTGTAAATATTTAGGACAAATCGTTATAAAAGGCTACTGATTTTCAACAAAGATTTCACCCTGGGTATTGCAATAATCACAAATACGGTCTTCCCTTGGAATATTTGCATGATAAATCTCCTATCACTAGGATTTCTAACTAGATCCAAATGCACTTCAAAACCATAATTTTCGTTTAAATTTTTGTAAAGAAAAAAATTACCATTTGACTCTAAGTCAGGTCTCCATTTCTGACTACAGATATCGATGAGACGTGTTTTTGTGTCCGATGTTACACACATTAAGCCCTTACACAGGATTAAGGCAGTCACATCAACTCTTAATTATTATTCTAATATCTGCTACTAACAATTATATTTAATGAGGGGGCGGTGGGGTAGCCTAATGGTTAAAGCTTTGGCTCGTCACGCCGAAGACCCGGGTTCGAATCCCCACATGGGCACAATGTGTGAAGCCCATTTCTGGTGTCCCCCGCCGTGATGTTAATGGAATATTGCTAAAAGCGGCGTAAAAACCAAACTCATTCAGTATATTTAATGATTACCTAGTTTCTCTGAAGTTAATATATTCATGCCTGGTCTAATTTTCCACATGATTTGTGTATCAGTCGATACTCCAGTTGAATGATTGTCTGGACAATACTGACACGAAGTTCGTAAACACCAACAGGTCGTGTATCAGCTTTAGTTCCAAGTGAACCGACCTCCTACAGACGCCTCTTCCGGCTGACATTGCCTCCTTTGTGAGAATCTCACTTGTAATGTAAGATCAGACTTACAATATCTGTCTCCAGCTTTCATATTTTTAACCTATAATACATAAACATTTTTCCTTCTCAACGTGTAGTTTTAAGACTTAGTCTGCAATAGCACACTAATATCGAGAGATTCTGTAAAAAAAACCGAGTCTGAACCGGACACACCAGTGATTGGACAGGGTGCAGTGATCTGCAATAAGGGATGTGACTCCAGGTCCTTGTTAGATGATCCTAGGAGTCAAGGGTAGTGATGTAGCTGATGTCATCCTGACAGCTAGACAGGTGTATTGACGTAGCTGATGTCATCCTGACAGCCAGAGGTGTATTGACATACCTGTTGTCATCCTGACAGCCAGACAGGTGTATTGACGTAGCTGATGTCATCCTGACAGCCAGGCAGGTGTATTGACGTAGCTGATGTCATCCTGACAGCCAGACAGGTGTATTGACATACCTGTTGTCATCCTGACAGCCAGACAGGTGTATTGACATAGCTGATGTCATCCTGACAGCCAGACAGGTGTATTGACATACCTGTTGTCATCCGGACAGCCAGACAGGTGTATTGACGTAGCTGATGTCATCCTGACAGCCAGACAGGTGTATTGACATACCTGTTGTCATCCTGACAGCCAGACAGGTGTATTGACGTAGCTGATGTCATCCTGACAGCCAGACAAGTGTATTGACGTAGCTGATGTCATCCTGACAGCCAGACAGGTATATTGACATAGCTGATGTCATCCTGACAGCCAGACAGGTGTATTGACGTAGCTGATGTCATCCTGACAGCCAGACAGGTGTATTGACATACCTGTTGTCATCCTGACAGCCAGACAGGTGTATTGACATAGCTGATGTCATCCTGACAGCCAGACAGGTGTATTGACATACCTGTTGTCATCCGGACAGCCAGACAGGTGTATTGACGTAGCTGATGTCATCCTGACAGCCAGACAAGTGTATTGACGTAGCTGATGTCATCCTGACAGCCAGACAGGTATATTGACATAGCTGATGTCATCCTGACAGCCAGACAGGTGTATTTACGTAGCTGATGTCATCCTGACAGCCAGACAGGTGTATTGACGTACCTGTTGTCATCCTGACAGCCAGACAGGTGTATTGACGTACCTGTTGTCATCCTGACAGCCAGACAGGTGTATTGACGTAGCTGATGTCATCCTGACAGCCAGACAGGTGTATTGACTTAGTTAATGTCATGTAACCCCGACAGTGATATAATTACTCCTTCACTCCTTCAATTAAATTCAACATGTATGAGTGGGTATTTTTATTACAAGAACATGAATGCTATATACATTAGTATGACAGCAGGTAACTTATAAAGCAGAACATCAGAAAATCAAATATGTATAAATCCAAGTATTGAGTATAATGATATGACATCTCCATTCCATAACGGCCAATGTGGCTTCGTCTGGATAACTTCGGACCCTAAAGTTCTTAACTGAACCACAATCACCGAAAGGCAAGGAGTGAGTGAGTGAGTGTGGATAATCATGGATGATTCATGAGTATGATTACCCTGCGTTTACCTTCAGACATGATTACATTTCATCCTTACACTCTTATTTTCCCCATTGTCATCAGGGGGAAATGTAACAGATCATCTTTCTATATTCTTACAACTTTCATTTTGTTCCACAATAAATAAACAATAACCATTGTGCCTGACTCCATCAACACTGTCTTACATCATAACCACTATTCCTTCACTTAAGTTAACATGACACAAATACATCTGTGATTTGGATAAGATGGTTGTTAAATGTCAGCCACCTTAGTCAGTTGTTAGGAAAACTGCATGCACAGAACGAGAGTTACATCAGTACTTTTCAATAACCGACATCAACTAGATGTGGCTAGAATAGATAGATAGGTAGGAGGGGGACTAATAAATTTAAACTTAAAAAAAATCCACCACAAGCACATCTAAGGAATATATTATTCTCAAAACTTCTATTGTTGTAGACATTGCATGCTCGAATTACAAACAAAGATGATATTTACTTAAAAATTCCTTCAAAAACCTTATCTCTGTTACATTTATGAATACACAATGTCATTTAGAAAGTAGTCAAATGTAACAAGTTATATTTGGGATCACACTTTCTGAGTAATGTACCGATTCTAGTACTTTTGTTGGGTTGTGTCCCATTCGGGATTCGAACCCACACTCTCAGAGCCAGGCACCAAATCACCAGCACACAAAATCAGTCTGCATCATCTTCGACACATTCAATGTGAAGGTTTCAAGTTTAGTATATCCTCATGAAAACCAGCTTCATTTTATGAACGTATAGAAACAAATATAAACATATACAAACATGTATAAACATATAAAAAAATTAAGAAATACACAACTCCTTTGCACTTGCACTTTCAGTAGTGTTAAATAAGTATTTCTATGCATCTATTGCGTCTTCTGTACCTTGACCATACGAAACTACCCCGTCCTTGAACTGACTGTGTCTACCAGGTGTTGTAATGCACAACAGTCGTTAATCTATCGACCTATCATCTGTCTGCACAACCTTCTCCCTTCTCGGTAGAATAGGACGACTGGCTAATGGGAAAACTACTGGAACCGACTCGGAAGTCTCTCGGTCATGGTGCCGGACTGCATGGTCCTGATGATGGTGAAGGGAGGGTGTGGAGGAATTGCTTGTCTACTCCGGCCTGGCATGTTTGGACCGGGTCCACCCTGTTCCCGGACTGCATGGTCCTGATGATGGTGAAGGGAGGGTGTGGAGGAATTGCTTGTCTACTCCGGCCTGGCATGTTTGGACTGGGTCCACCCTGTTCCCGTACAGCATGGACCTGATGATGGTGAAGGGAGGGTGTGGAGGAATTGATTGGCTACTCCGGCCCTGGCATGTTTGGACCAGGTCCACCCTGTTCCCGTACAGCATGGACCACTTCTCAGCAGGTGGTCTTGGAAGACATCCTCCCTGATGACGACGACCTTCTGATCTTTGGAAGAAGATGTAAGCAATGGCTGATACTACAAGGCTGCTCGCGGGATCCTAGAGCTGAGTCAGGGATAACTGTTGAAGCCCTATTGGTTGACATCTTTGTCTCAAGTTACTGATACTATAATTGATCGAGTCTGGACCACACAATCCAGTGATCAACAGCATGAGCATGGATCTATGCAACTGGGATGACGTGTTGAGCATGTCAGTGAGTCTGGACACCCACTAACAAGCATAGGTTAGTGAAGACCCATTCTAACCTGGATCTCCACAAGTGATGTTTAAAAGTCGAGATCATATAGCCGGAATATTGATAAGAACAACATACAAACGTTTAACCTAGGATGGAAGTTTTAAGCAGCTGATGTCTTCTTCATCTGAACTATGGAAAACTACATCCTCGAGCCTAATGCTGCAAGGTCTAACAGCTGACTTGACATATATTGCTCTAAGACAGTCTGACTTTAGCTTGTTATCTATTCAGCCTGAAAAGTGGTGAGTGACTTGACAGTGATACAGCAGACCTACATGCCTGACTTGTGTGACCCCTACTGTGTTCTTGATGTCCATACATCTACACAGACAGTCTCCATACAGACACAGTCACTTACAGACACAGTCTCCATACACACAGTCTCCATACACACACAGTCTCCATACACACAGTCTCCATACACACACAGTCTCCATACACACACAGTCTCCACAGTACAGACAGTCTCCACAGTCTCCATACACACACATACAGATACACACAGTCTCCATACACACACAGTCTCCATACACACATAGTCTCCATACAGACAGTCTCCATACACAGACAGTCTCCATACAGACAGTCTCCATACACAGTCTCCATACAGACACACACACACAGTCTCATACAGACACGGTCACTATATACATCCACAATCTCTCCTGGCAGTATTGGCAGTGTCTTGGTGATTTGCTTGCTGGAGGACACATATGTATGTATTGCACTATGTGTACTTCATGTGAGAAGTAATATTTGTCACACTTGCAACTGCAGGGATCAGATCTTTTCAGACTAACTTCATTAGGAATACTGTGAAGCTTTCTTTGTAAAGTTTCTGCCCTTTGGGTGCTTAAAATGTATCAGAGGTCGACTGGACTCCTGGCTACTGGACTCCTGGCTACTGGACTCCTGACCATCCTCGGGAATCAACACTTCTGAGTAAGATGAAGCTGAAGGCCCAGACTGTGAGCAGGAACTGGTCACAGAAATTACAGATTCAGATGAGGGATGGAGATTGTCAGTGGTTTGTTCATCCACATTCTTTCCACTAAGGTCATCAAGTTCCTCTCCCCAACAGTCCTGAACAAATCTGTCTTCCACTGCAGCAAACTGTCTGTACTCGGAAACAGCACTTTGTCCCGAGTTGTCCCACATGCTCTCCCCTGTGGTGTCGGTTAAGTTGTCTGGAATTGGTCGAGGACCTCCTGAAGATGGTTGTGGTCCTTCTGGAGATGGCTGCAATCCCCCTGATGCGGATGTTGTTCCTGGAGCATGTGATGACTCTGTCCTTTCTTCGGATGATTCTCCATGAACTTCTGTAGACATTCCAGGTATTTCTGGTGGGTTTGCATCATTCTTGACTGAAGGACCCGACTGGCTAATGACTTGAGACTGCCTCACTGCTCCAAGACTGGCATCGGTGCCCATGCTGACGTTGCCGCTATCTCTAGACACCTGGGGTTTTATAGCTGCTACATTCTCTTTTGTGTCAGACTGGAAACATATGAAACAAAATTCAAGAACTTACAAGGTAAGTGAAATATGTGCTTTTGATTTAGACATTCTAACATTTGAACCTGAATGTGTGAGCTGGAGTTTTCGCACACTGTGAGTTGTTTGCAGAATTAATGTTCTAAAACTAAAAAAGTTGTTTAACAAACTATCATTAAAATATTTACACAGTTGACTATTTGATACAAGGTAGGAGTGCAAAGAGATGAACAGCCAGATGTGCGAGAAAGGATGGAGAAGGCATAGCTTTGTCCTCACTTGCTTCACGTACACCTGGATGTTGCTCTCTTTGCACTCCTCCCTCGTATCAAATATGGAACTGTGACAAAACTTTAATGATGGATTGTTAAATAACTTTTATTTTCAGGACATAAATTCTGCAAAAAACTCAGAGTTGGTCTGATGTTTCATTGAGTATTATATTTCGAGTTAGACTGCAATTCATTGGTCCGCTTTTTAAACCAAACAGACTATAAGAAATGCCAACAGCTTCAGGATATCATAAAATATATAAAAACACTTTGTTCTTCTAAAATGTTACTGACAAGAGGCTTGTGAAACAAATGAGTGTAGCCTGAGCTACTTTATACACTTGTATGTCTAAGGTTACTGGAAATATGTTGATGGATCGATATTCACCTTGCATTCCCCGAGAAGATGCTTGTAATCGGGAAGATGAATGGTGTAGTTACTACACATTCCTTTCTTCTTCATCCAGAGGCAGCATCTGCAACATCACCATGACTGTTACTTCAACACGTATCACAACTACAGTTCCAGTTTTACAAAATACAGGATTGTGCAGGGACTCATGCCAACTGGGAGTTCCCTTTGAACAGAACAGTATTAGTAACACTGGTCTGATGGTAGTGGAGCTCTTGTAGAGAGATGAACAGAACAGTATTAGTAACACTGGTCTGATGGTAGTGGAGCTCTTGTAGAGAGATGAACAGAACAGTATTAGTAACACTGGTCTGATGGTAGTGGAGCTCTTGTAGAGAGATATTAGAAACACTGGTCTGATGGCAGTGGAGCTCTTAGAGAGATAGAACAGAACAGTATTAGAAACACTGGTCTGATGGTCTTCGTAGAGATGAACAGAGCACTCTTGGTAGAGATGAACAGAACAGTATTAGAAACACTGGTCTGATGGTAGTGGAGCTCTTGTAGAGAGATGAACAGAACAGTATTAGAAACACTGGTCTGATGGTAGTGGAGCTCTTGTAGGGAGATGAACAGAACAGTATTAGAAACACTGGTCTGATGGTAGTGGAGCTCTTGTAGAGAGATGAACAGAACAGTATTAGTAACACTGGTCTGTGGTAGTTCTTTGTAGAAACACTGGTATTAGAAACACTGGTCTGATGGTAGTGGAGCTCTTATGTAGAGAGATGAACAGAACAGTATTAGAAACACTGGTCTGATGGTAGTGGAGCTCTTGTAGAGAGATGAACAGAACAGTATTAGAAACACTGGTCTGATGGTAGTGGAGCTCTTGTAGAGATGAACAGAACAGTATTAGAAACACTGGTCTCTGATGGTAGTGGAGCTCTTGTAGAGAGATGAACAGAACAGTATTAGAAACACTGGTCTGATGGTAGTGGAGCTCTTGTAGAGAGATGAACAGAACAGTATTAGAAACACTGGTCTGATGGTAGTGGAGCTCTTGTAGAGAGATGAACAGAACAGTATTAGAAACACTGGTCTGATGGTAGTGGAACTCTTGTAGAGAGATGAACAGAACAGTATTAGAAACACTGGTCTGATGGTAGTGGAGCTCTTTTAGGGAGATGTTACTTCATTCTTAAAAAAACCCGACTTATTTAGGAATGATGAGCAATGGCAGATTTAAAATACGTCTGTATGAGGCATGCTGAATCTAAGTGTTCGTTAAACTCATGCTGAATCTGAGTGTGAGCTAAAACTCATGCTGAATCTGTGTGTGAGCTAAACTCATGCTGAATCTGAGTGTGAGCTAAACTCATGCTGAATCTGAGTGTGAGCTAAACTCATGCTGAATATGAGTGTGAGCTAAACTCATGCTGAATCTGTGTGTGTTAAACTCATGCTGAATCTTAGTGTGAGCTAAACTCATGCTGAATCTGTGTGTGAGCTAAACTCATGCTGAATCTGAGTGTGAGCTAAACTCATGCTGAATCTGTGTGTGAGCTAAACTCATGCTGAATCTGTGTGAGCTAAACTCATGCTGAATCTGGAGTGTGAGCTTTCAAACTCATGCTGAATCTGGAGTGTGAGCTAAACTCATGCTGAATCTTATGTGTGAGCTAAACTCATGCTGAATCTGTGTGTGAGCTAAACTCATGCTGAATCTGTGTGTGTGAGCTAAACTCATGCTGAATCTGAGTGTGAGCTTAAACTCATGCTGAATCTGAGTGTGAGCTAAACTCATGCTGAATCTGTGTGTGAGCTAAACTCAACTCATGCTGAGCTAAACTGATGCTGAATCTTAGTGGAGCTAAACTCATGCTGAATCTGAGTGTGAGCTTAAACTCATGCTGAATCTGAGTGTGAGCTAAACTCATGCTGAATCTGAGTGTGAGCTAACTCATGCTGAATCTGTGTGTGAGCTAAACTCATGCTGAATCTGAGGTGAGCTAAACTCATGCTGAATCTGAGTGTGAGCTAAACTCATGCTGAATCTGAGTGTGAGCTAAACTCACGCTGAATCTGAGTGTGAGCTAAACTCATGCTGAATCTGAGTGTGAGCTAAACTCTGCATGCTGAATCTGAGTGTGAGCTAAACTCATGCTGAATCTGTGTGTGAGCTAAACTCATGCTGAATCTGTGTGTGAGCTTTAAACTCATGCTGAATCTGAGTGTGAGCTAAACTCATGCTGAATCTTAGTGTGAAAACTCATGCTGAATGTGTGTGAGCTAAACTCATGCTGAATCTGTGTGTGAGCTAAACTCATGCTGAATCTGAGTGTGAGCTAAACTCATGCTGAATCTGAGTGTGAGCTAAACTCATGCTGAATCTGAGTGTGAGCTAAACTCATGCTGAATCTGTGTGTGAGCTAAACTCATGCTGAATCTGAGTGTGAGCTAAACTCATGCTGAATCTGAGTGTGAGCTAAACTCATGCTGAATCTGAGTGTGATGCCAACTGGAGCATAATTAAAATCATGCTGAATCTAAGCATGTGTTAAACTGATGCTAAATCTAAGCATGAGTTAAAATGATTCTGAATCTAAGCAGGAGTTAAAGGGATGCTGAATCTAAGCATGAATTCAGAAAAAGGACTAATATCCTGATGATGACTTACAATGCAAAACCCGCTGTTAGTACTATGACCACACAGACGACGACAGTGACCACTATTTTTATGTCATCTTGTAGTTCCACAACTGAAACAATTCAAACAGGATTGAAACAGGATTTACATGGGATTCAAAGAGGATTCAAACGGGATTCAAACAGGATTCAAACAGGAAAACCAGCATTAATTAATCAAACTGTTATAAATATTTTACATCGAGGGCATTCATTTTACCATTCTGTTTGGAGATCACATTTTCTACACAGTGTGCACTGAAAAACATAATTTGCTCCCCCAAATTTCAAAATATACTGAGATGAAGGTATGGTCTGGGCAATGTCTGAAAATTCCTTCATCAGCAAAAAACTAAACATAAGTATACACAATCTCCCCCCTATCTTTCATCATATGAAACACATCACTATGCAACAATCAAATGTTAAACTCCACAACATGCAGGGTACTTAAACATTTGGGGTGTTGATATTTTGTGTCAAAAGACACAAGGGTGAGAGTTATGATGCCAATTTTTCAGAATGATGAATAAATAATTACATCCATAATCAATAGATGAGTGAGTGAGTGAGTATGTCTTTATGCCACTTTTAACAATATTGCAGCAACATCACAGTGGTGGGCACCAGAAATGGGCTGCATTTGTACCCATGTGAGGAATCGAACCCGGGTCTTTGGAGTGAAGAGCGAACACTTTAACCACTAGCCTACCCCACCGCTCAAACCATTAGCTAACCATGGTACACATGAGGTGTTACCTTCCATACAACACCCCATTCACAGGGACACCATTCACACATGATGATCTCAAGATCTAACTTATATGGGAGAAAAAGGTATTTCTTAAAACATTTACTTTGTCTCAACACTTAGTCATAGCTAAAGATTGATTATCTTGCTTACAGACTGTTTGCAGCGTCGACCACACCATCCCAGCCCTGCTGTGTTGGAGCCCGGACACAGCATACAGACAATCTGTGTCACAGTCCAGATCCTCCACGCTCAGCTGCATCCTGCTGCCCACATCCTGGTGCTGAAGTTCTTCCTGGGAAAATAAACTTCATTATTCTCTTATCTGCTTTGATTTTGAATGTCCTGAATCTATCCTCACTGGATGGTTTGGAAGCCTGGTTGTAATGTTTGATCTCCTTTCTTTGAGCTTCAGGTTATTGAAGTTTTAGAGGAGACTGTTGTCTCCACTTCCATGATACTAAATTGCAAATCTTATGATCTCAGCATTGTAACTGCGGGTGAGTAGGTTAGTGAGAGGTTGAGTAGTTGGGTGAGTGAGTGAGTGGGTGCGTGCGGATGGTTGGTTGGTTGGTTGGTTGAGTGAGAGATTAAATGGTTGAGTGAGTGAGAGAGTAAGTGAGTGGTTGAGTGAGGATGGTCGGTTGGTTGAGTGAGTGAGGTTGGTTGGTGCAGTGAGTGAATAAGTGGTTCAGTGAGCGAAAGGTTGAGTGAGTGAGTGAGTTAGGTTCAGCACTGCTTTTACCAGTGTTCCAGTTATGTCCTGGTGTGTCAGCATCATGTGGGGGGAGGCTAGTCCGAAGTGATGCAGGTTTTAAGATGTCCCACTTTGATAACCCCACCAGCATCAATTACTGAGTAAACCAGGAAATCATTTGGTCCGCACTTGCCAAAAGGGAAGCAACTCTGCATAGCAAATTGCAGCCCCCACGTTTTTGCCAAAGATAATGTGTTTTATATACTGAACATCATTGAAAACGCACCACCTGTATTAGTTTGGATTTCCAAGAGCATAAATGAGCAATCGGTGTAAATTTTACACACTTTTGTAGTCCAATGATTGAGAATTGTCCTGCTGGAATGTGTGAAGATCTTGATGTTGGTTAAAGAAGGGGAACCACGTTGTTCTGAAGAATGGTGTCACGGTAGTAAAGGGCATTCACTCTGCCATGACAAACTACCAGAGCGGTTTTGTGATGATAACTGATCACTCCCCACACCATAATGCTGTCTCCACCCACCGATCTGTTTGCACAACACAGTCCTGATGGTAACGTTCTCCCCGTCGATGCGATACCTGTAGACACCCGTCAGCATTTTGCAAGTGAAAACATGACTTGTCGGAGAACACAACACCATGCCAACGTCGTAACACCACAAACGATGCTGTTCAGCCATTCGTCAACGTTCAAGGCAATGTCTATCAGTCAGGATGGGTCCAACATAAGGGCGTAGACACCATAATCCTGCCGCAGGGAGACGGCGTCGGACGGTGGAAGCACTGATCAAACCACATCGGCCTTGGACAGCATTGGCAGTTCTGGCAGCCGTCAAAGTACGATCCCGAATATGGCACCGAACAATGTCTCGATCTTGGCGAGGGGGTGGTAACACGTGCCTGGCTACGACGTTGGCGGTTCCTGGTGGTTCCTGTTTGTTGGTACCTGTTGGCAATTCTTATGATGGTGGAATTGTAGCAGAAATGAAATTTCAGGGTTTGATCCCCTGGCATTTCATATGGTTGATTTAAAATTAAAATGTATCAATTTCCCAGTTGTATTTTTAGCAATGTCATTATGTTGCGGGTGAGGTCATTTTAATAGGTCATAAAATGCAAATAAAAATTATAAAATAATAGTTCATAAAAAAAAGGTTTTAGGTGGTAGTATTTTATAGGTTATTTAGTTCATTTGTGGTGAAAGAGTTCATAAATTGTATTGATGACAAAGGTAGCATTTCAAGAGAAATGCAGTTGTTTTGAGATCACTGTATATATTTAGCTCTGGGCAAGGTCAAGGTTGTCAGTCAAGGCTCATAAGTTCAAAGGTTGTGTCATGTCAGGTCATGACACTAGGAGTTGTTTATCATGTGATCAGTTATGCTGATTTCTGATTGGTTGATTGGCAAACAATTGGCTCTACATGTTACACCTGAGCAATTAACCTTCACTTCACATTGGGACACAGGGATTGACAGGTGAGCCTTTTTGTTTTGGCATGGTATTTTTACAGTGCTGGTTAGTACAAGTAAAATAGGTGTTATAATCCAATTCATAGTAAAAGCTTATTTTATCTTTAACTATAATTGTATTGTAATTTCTTGTAGTTAATATAAATTAAAAGTAATAATTCTATGATAGTTTAATAAGCATTTTAAACATTATCTTTACAAAGTTAGTTACTTGCCAAAATGAAATGATTACACGTATATTTAATTCATAACACATTATATTTTCCCCAATGTGTGATTTGTGACTGACTGAATGAATTGTTGTACTGTTTGTGTACTACAGACGGTAACGTGTATGCCATGTGGTCTTGGGAGGGCTGCCATGATGATAAGCTGCATACCATATATATGTAAGTGACTGCTTGTGTATCAATGATTTTGCTACATGGTATTAGGCTGTGTCATTCCTGGTTTTATTCTTTGTATGTAGCGTGCAATATTTTAAATGGGCATTTGTATTAGAACTCAATGAAGTGTAATGAAATGAAATCTATTGCCATTTAAATCTGGAGAATTGAATTCAATGTACTGAACATGACTTCTGTTATTTCAACATGGTGTAATGATTGGTATGTTAAGTATGTCATGAATTAAGATGTGATGTGTTGAATGTCATGTTATTGTGAATTATATTACTGCCTAAATGTTCCAGGGCACTAAATTATCAAGTACACATGCTGGATCATCAGAGCGAACTTGCAACACTCAAAATAAAAGATTTGCAGAACCCATGACAGCCATCTTCGCCGCCATTTCGCTCGGGCTGAAAAGCAGTATTACAACTTGAGCCCCCAGGGAGGATCCAGTGACATGGCTAAACCCCCACCACATCTCGTTACATCGTCTGACTCTGCGCCAACTCGTCATGTGATCGCGTCACTAGAAGACAACCAACGGTTGGGTGAGAACTTTCTCATACATTGTACACCAAAATTACATATTGCGTGTGTTATTGACGATCCAATTCTGTGAGGCGTCAGAGGAAACTGTGTCCCAGGCCTTGATGGCTACATGAACTTTTGAATTTTTAATTATGTGAAGTCATACATGAACCTGTGAATTACTTTTATTGAAATATTGATATATTGGACATTATTGATATACATATTTACATTTGCAATTTACAATTTTGGGGTTAACATCTTCATAGCTACATTTGCCCAATCATATATATGTTTGTTGTTTGTTTTATGTACCTGTTTATGTGAATGAATGTTTATTGACAGTGCAGTGAAGGCATGCAGTGAAGGGTAATGGTTGAGTTTGTGTGATGTAACATACTCTCCCCACACACGCACCTTGTCACATATATTTAGCAAACAAACAAAACAGTGTAACTTCTTATCAAAAGGTTAAGATTAGGTTTATTTAAACATAAGTTAGTCAATTAAATTAATTACATTATCTAAAGTATAAATATCTGTTTCCATTGTCTTGCTGTTGTTGACGTCGGCTGTGGAAGTGTCGTGTCAGCATTACCTGCCTGTGTGTCTCTGGGTCTCCCTTGTTGCACCCTTCACTTACTCACCTTTCACCTATGTAGTTGCATTGCTCATACACTTATCCTCTTTGTACTTTGGTGTACTTGTCCTATGGTTCCCGTTGTTCTGGTAGTGTCATAATGGCTCATAAGATAGAACAGGATCATAAGGTGATAGAGGAATTGGAGTCTAAAGAGATACCGCCTTTGGAAGATGGGGATGAAGGTGAACCTAATGTTCTTCTCTTAAGTCAATGGGTGCAACATCTAAGGTGAATAGTGCTGAGGAGTTGCAGGATTTGATGGTTTCTTATTTGCAATCAGTTGGTAAACTGTCAGGTGATGACTCCAAAGGTGTTCCTGGGAATGTTCCCAGTGGTATACCTAAGGATTCTGTGTCAGGGGATAAAGGTGTTAGCTTTCAGAGTCCTCAAGGTTCTGGCCAGTTAACTGCCATGCCAGGTCCCATTCCTCGTCTGTCATTGTTCTTTGGTGAATCGGGTAAAGGAGAAGCTCCATACGATCTGTGGATATACGGTCAACTGTCTTCTAGCAGAGAAAACTTACCAAGAAAATCATATTCGAGGCTGTAAAAGGCCGCTCACTGAAGGGGCAAGGCAGGCAAAGTGGCTTCACTCTTAGGATCTCGTGCCAGTTTAGGAGACCGTGTTGAACAAGTTACAGAGTGTTTATGGAACATGCGAGGAAAGTGAGTCTCTTATGGCAAGCTTCTACAGTGCTAAGCAATTACCAGATGAAGATGTAACCACATGGGGTTGTAGGCTAGAGGATCTTTATGCCAAGGCTACACAGAATAGTAAATCCCTCGGTAGATGAAATCAATCAAGCCCTTAAAAGTGTATTTTGGCAAGGACTTAAAGCCAGCCCTTAAGGATATCTCTGGTCATAAGGATGATTCCATTCAAGACTTTGACACGCCTGGTTGTAATACGGAGATTGGAACATGAGTTGAGTCTAAGGAATCCTCCCGGTTTCAAAGAAACCTCTTCCAGCTAAGATGGCTTTTCAACACCTTCTGAGATGCAAGAGTTAAAAGATATGGTTAAGGAATTGTCTGCAGAGTTGACCAATATCAAGAAACAGATGACAAAACCCCAAAGTAATTCTCCTGCTCAAAGCCATACAGGTAATGGCAATCCAAGGAAAGGCAGATATAACCCTAATGTAGGCGAAGGTCAGAATGTTCGTGGCAGAACAACTTATGATACCCTTACCTACCATACAAAGGGTCAGACTTCACCGCCTGAAGGAATTCATTACCAGTTTGTTGGAAATGTGGACAGCTTGGGTCATATTTGGCGCCGTTGTAGGATAAATATGGATCATCATTAGCCTTTAAACGGATGACGGGGACCCATGGGCATGGGCAACTCATGGGTCAGTTTGCCTCGATTCTCAAACAACAAATACTTCCAGAAGGATTAGTTGGAGAATCCAATGAGACATCGGTAGTAGTTTGTGACAAGCCATGTATAGCTCTAATTGATACAGGTTCAACAGTTTCAATCCGCTAGTGAGTCCTTTTACAAACACCATCTCTCTCGTGATCTTCCGCCTCCATACTC